CCCCCGCCAAGGATTTAAATAAGCCATCTAGTGAGAATGAATCAAGGGTATTGGTTTGGTTGTACAAGGTGACGTTACTTCCTTAACTTGGATTTAACAAATTCTTCTATGTCCTAGGCTTTGTGTTTAAAAGCTAAAGTGGAAAATAGAAGTCTTAATTGTACAGCTTTTACAGCTTACATTTACTGAGTTTTGTACTTGCAAGTATCAATGAATGAATTTAGACATATCACAAACTTTTCAATGCTGGCTACTCCTGAGAACTTTTTTGTCCTTCGCATACCTGGAAAGAGTTTCCAGGATTAGCTGCTCCAACACCTTCCCAGGGATTGAGATGAGGCTGAGCAGCCTGTAGTTCTCTGAGTCCTCCTTGCCCTTCTTGAAGACAGGAGTGACATTTGCTTTTGTCCAGTCTTCAGGCACTTCTGCCAGTTGCCATGACTGATCAAAGATTATCAAGAGTGGCCTTGTGATGGCATCAGCCAGCTCCTTCAGCACCCATGTGTGCATCCCATCTGGGTGCATGGACTTATCTATGTCCGTTTTGCTTACGTATTCCCTGACCTGATCCTCTTCCACTGAGGAAACATTTTCCTTGCTCCAGTCTTTCCTCCTGGTCTCTAATGCCAGGGATTCCTGAAGGCTGGTCTTGCTAGTAAAGACTGAGGTAAAGGTGGTGTTTGGTACCTCAGCCTTTTCCATGTTCTGTATAAGCAGGTCCCCTGTCTCGTTAAGCAATGGGCCCACATTTTTCCTAGTCTTCCTTTTGTCACCTTATAGAAGCCCTTCATGTTGTCATTGACATCCCTGGCCAGATTCAATTCCATTTGGGCTTTAGCTTACCCAGTTTCATCCATCCGCAGGCAGAGCTCCATGCACTCCAGCTGCTCTCTCACAGAAAGGGCAGCACCCCCTCCTTATCTTCCCAGCCTGTCTTTCCTAAAGAGCCTGCATCCTCTCATTGCAGCACTTCACCCATGTTTCCGTGATCCCAAAAAGATTGTAGCTCTGCAACTGCACACAGATCTCTAACTCATCATGCTGCATGCATTCTCCAGGGCTTTATTTTGCCTCAAAAGTTTGAAAAGGAAACAATAGG